GCCTTTCTGCTCTTGTCGGGCGTGACACTGCGTGGACTGCCTCACGAGGCGTGATGCCTTTGAGTGGCTTCACCCTGGACGTCTAAGGATAACTTTTCAAGACCCTGCCGCTCGCTCAAACTGTCTTGTGCTGGCCTCTCTTGAAGTCACATGCAGCGTGCCCCTTCCGTCTTACAGTTCAGTCTTCATGCGGTCGCCTGAGATCGCTCCTGACAGGCGAGTGAGGCGCGTGATTCATGCGATCCTGAATCCTGATGTTTCCTGTGTTCAGATGTCGAGGGTTGCAGAGTTGCAGAGGCAGGTTCAGTGCAGGTCCCAACTGTCGGCAGTGCGTTCCAGGATGAACAGGAGCCCCTGATAGTTCCAGCAACACACAGCGAAGATGCTGCCATGTTGATTCCACATTTTGTGTCACCAATAGCTGCATTGTTGCGCAACACGGATGGGACCGCAACACGTCTCTCTCCCACAGGTAAGTGCTGTCTTCTCTTCGTGCCAGGGTGCAGCGTGGTTCAGTGCTGTTCAAAGTACCTGCGAATACAGTGTTTAGACGGCGGGGCTTGCAGAAGGGCTCACAACTTTCGACTGTCGGCAGTTCCCACTGCGCCTGCAGCTGTGGGCGACAGAAGTTTGCGAGCTGCGCGTACCAACGCGAACATGCGGGCTGCCTCCATGTGGCCGTATCACACAGTATGAGACGCAGGACCTCTGGGACGAGGCAGATGCGTCCTATTGCACTTGCACCTGAGTCAGCTGCCCAAAGATGCCGGCCCCAACGAGCTTTCAAGCATCTCCCAATACACTCTGCGTCCAGGATGGCTAGCTCGGCCTCATGGCTCCTTTGAATCTTCTTCAACTTGATTTTCTGGATTGCAGCTTTCACCCCTGTAGGGGGCTGGGCTTGTACGCCGGGATCTTGGACAGCTGAGTGCTGTCAGTCCGACGGAGACAGGAAGACAGCGGTTAGCTGCCGCGTGAACCCCAGCTTGCCTCAGCTCTCCAGTCCTGCACTCGTATACCCAAACCATATGATCTGAATGAACTGTTGATATGTCCTCTCCGTGCAGCAAGCGGAATCCACCACCCCTGCATTTGCCATCAGCCCATTGCTGTTGCAAGGTGCCGGCTTAGGAGCAGGGCACGAAGCCATGGCTGCAGAGGTCCATCTCCCACTCTAAATTCATGTTCTGTCGGGTTGCCTTCTTTGGTTACGACAGCGTTTACTTTTCCACGCCTGAGTCCCTCACCCCGAGTGGAGATTGCAGGAAGAACTGCATGCTGTCTGCAATGTCTGCAATGGTGGAAGGCACATGATGTGGTACCTGCAGTGGAATAGACTCGGACCATGCCTTCTTGCCAGGGTCTGGAGCGGGCTGCGTATGGGTGCTGGGTAGGAGAGCGAGCAGATCGTTTCCCAATGGTTCATAGCCTTGGTGCATGCTACCCACGACTCCACGCATCCAGCCCACATTTCGAGGCAGGTTGTGCGATCTTCACCCCTCTAAAAGATCTGATTGTGGGGGGCTGGGCTTGTACGCCGGGATCTTGGACAGCTGAGTGCTGTCAGTCCGACGGAGACAGGAAGACAGCGGTTAGCTGCCGCGTGAACCCCAGCTTGCCTCAGCTTTCCAGTCCTGCACTCGTATACCCAAACCATATGAAATGAATGAACTGTTGATATGTCCTCTCCGTGCAGCAAGCGGAATCCACCACCCCTGCATTTGCCATCAGCCCATTGCTGTTGCAAGGTGCCGGCTTAGGAGCAGGGCACAAAGCCATGGCTGCAGAGGTCCATCTCCCACTCTAAATTCATGTTCTGTCGGGTTGCCTTCTTTGGTTACGACAGCGTTTACTTTTCCACGCCTGAGTCCCTCACCCCGAGTGGAGATTGCAGGAAGAACTGCATGCTGTCTGCAATGTCTGCAATGGTGGAAGGCACATGATGTGGTACCTGCAGTGGAATAGACTCGGACCATGCCTTCTTGCCAGGGTCTGGAGCGGGCTGCGTATGGGTGCTGGGTAGGAGAGCGAGCAGATCGTTTCCCAATGGTTCATAGCCTTGGTGCATGCTACCCACGACTCCACGCATCCAGCCCACATTTCGAGGCAGGTTGTGCGATCTTCACCCCTCTAAAAGATCTGATTGTGGGGAACTGGGCTTGTACGCCGGGATCTTGGACAGCTGCATGCTGTCTGCAATGTCTGCAATGGTGGAAGGCACATGATGTGGTACCTGCAGTGGAATAGACTCGGACCATGCCTTCTTGCCAGGGTCTGGAGCGGGCTGCGTATGGGTGCTGGGTAGGAGAGCAAGCAGATCGTTTCCCAATGGTTCATAGCCTTGGTGCATGCTACCCACGACTCCACGCATCCAGCCCACATTTCGAGGCAGGTTGTGCGATCTTCACCCCTCTAAAAGATCTGATTGTGGGGGCTGGGCTTGCACGCCGGGATCTTGGACAGCTGAGTGCTGTCAGTCCGACGGAGACAGGAAGACAGCGGTTAGCTGCCGCGTGAACCCCAGCTTGCCTCAGCTCTCCAGTCCTGCACTCGTATACCCAAACCATATGAAATGAATGAACTGTTGATATGTCCTCTCCGTGCAGCAAGCGGAATCCACCACCCCTGCATTTGCCATCAGCCCATTGCTGTTGCATATCTGCATGAGCGCCTTTTCCAACTCCGTCATCACTAGCAACGTGCCACAGGCGGTCGCTCACACCCCTCTGAAGATACGTCTCAGCAGATCTTTTGCTGCAGCGTCAGATTGCATGTGTAGGAGGGTGTCCAGATGGTGCCCGGCTACCGCTATGCGTTGTGAGAGCAACGCCAACCTGTGCGGAGGGCTTTCCGAACCCCTTCGAAAGGTCGGTTTCTGGGTACTCTGGCTCTTCCAGCACATGGTCATGAAACTCCAGGTATGCCGGGTATGCCTTGAAACTCGGATGGGAACTGGACATATCTGCCTGCGAGGACATGCAGCTCAAAGCTAGCGCCTTTCACAATTCCGTCATCACTAGCCACATGCCACAGCTGCTCACTCACACCGTTCTGAAGATACGTCTCAGCAGATCCTTTGCTGCGGCGGCAGATTGCATGCGTAGGAGGATGTCCAGCTGGTGCCCGGCTACAGCTCTGCATTGTGAGAGCAACGCGAACTTTAGAAAGGTTGGTTTCTGGGTTCTTGGGCTCTTCCAGCACATGGTCATGAAACTCCAGGTATGCCGGGTATGCCTTGAAACCAGGATCGGAACTGGACATATCTGCCTGCGAGGACATACAGCTCAAAGCTAGCGCCTTTCCCAACTCCGTCATCACTAGCAACGTGCCACAGGCGGTCGCTCACACCCCTCTGAAGATACGTCTCAGCAGATCTTTTGCTGCTGCGTCAGATTGCATGCGTAGGAGGGTGTCCAGATGGTGCCCGGCTACCGCTATGCGTTGTGAGAGCAACGCGAACCTGTGCGGAGGGCTTTCCGAACCCCTTCGAAAGGTCGGTTTCTGGGTACTCTGGCTCTTCCAGCACATGGTCAAGAAACTCAAGGTATGCCGGGTTTTCCTTGAAACCAGGATCGGAACTGGAGATATCTGCGTGCGAGGACATACAGCTTAAAGCTGGCGCCTTTCCAAATGCCCTCCTCCGTGCAGGACATACGGATAGAAGCCACAATCACTCGAAGCTAGCGTGCCGCTCTCGCAGCCTCGCGGTGAGATGCGGTCGTGGCAGCTGACTTCGGAGCTGAGCGACTAGAAGTTGCTTCTGCAAGCTGGCGCGGCTTTGCTGCGTCTCAGATGTGATCGTGGAGTCAAGCGAATCAGTTGCCAATCTGCTTCCAGCAGTTGGACTGCAAGTTCTCGCAGCCAGAGCCCAATTTGGTCCGTTTCTGCAGGTCAGTGAAGTCTGGCACGAACTAAAGCGACGTCGCGGTGGCACGCAGCTTTCCTTCGCAGGGCCTCCAATGGAGCAACGCTCCAGGGTTTAGCCTCGACTCAATTCAGCAATGCAGCTTGCAGCAGGAGCTACTCCTAGGAACAGGCCACTTAGGCATCGACATCGGCCATTGCGGAGCCAGAACTTCCAACTCTCTCGCACCATTTGAAATTGAAAACATACAGCTGGACATAGCACAGTCCATCTCTAGGCTGAAGACGTTGAGACAGGCTCCACGCGGAAGGGTGCTGAACAAGTGTGCCCTAAGCCGCTCTTCCCACCTTCGCACAAGGACCCGCAACCAGTAACAGCCCAAAATGTTGGCAAAGGCAGCGGGGTCAAGAAGCCCTGGATTCGAAGCAGCTGAGAGAGTTTCTTGCAGAGCTTGTGGCCTTGGAGTTGGTTAGTGTGGTATTCTGTAGGAGTCCCTGTCAGAGAGCTGCGCCATACCAAGTTCGCAGTGCTTGCCTGAAAGGCTGCTGCACCGCTGGGTGCGGGGGAATGTTGGCAGAAGGAGGACATGTAAACCGTGAGCAAGAAGCGTCCCTTGCAGGACTCCGGATAAGACGTCCTGCTGTTATTTCTTGCCAAGCGAATCTGTGGCCCGTCTGCAGGCAGCGCTTGCCCGTCAAGAAAGTTACATCTCGCACAGACCGCAACTTGGAGGAGGTATTGGATGTGGTCGGCTACATTGGCCACGCTGGCTACACACAGATCTATCGCCTTCGGTCCAAGGCTTGGCCCACTGCCACATCACGGAAGTGTGCAGAGCTTCGCTTTCCGACCTGGACACGTGGTCAACTTGGGCTGTCAGGGAGTCTTGGCGGAGCGCTCGCAAGAAGGCACCAGAGGCATAGCTGATGCTCCGGGGCAGTAGGGATTTCACTTCTTTGCGTTGGCTCTTGGGCTCTTTAGACTTCAGAGCCCAACCTCAACGAAACCATCTGGAGGAGCCCTCTACTGCACAAGCATGAACCACTTGGCGGCATGATTGCACCTCTCTTGCGAGAGCATGGAGCGCAGGAATGCCTTTGAGAGCATGTCTGTAAGTTGACTGGGCCAAGGGTACTCAAGTTGCGCTTGCCATGCTCAGCTTCGTCACTCTGTCCAGGACCGCATCTTCTGACCCGGGCATCCGTCTCCCAAGACTAAGATGCATCGTGCGTGCAGGCTTCTGGGTCAAAGCCTCATCCGCTTCTGCCAGACTCTCAGCCTCCACATGCCAGTGCAAGGAGGATGTCCCATGATACCCATGAAAGTCACCCTCGTCTGAGTAACGATTTGGCACTGCAATCCTCACACCGGTGCCGGGGTTTCTTCTAACATTGAAGCCCGCATCCCTGTGGCGGCGCACTGCCTTCAAGAACATTCTGGCCCTCACGCCGGGCGTGCCACGTGTTGCGCGATCGAACCAATGCACGAACCAATGAACTGCCTCCCTGACGGCATGCAGTTGTGGGAGCAGAGACATGGCAATGCGTCCTGGCTGCGTGTTGATATTGCGTTCGAGTTTGGTCGAATCCTGTCATGCATCTTGATTTCTTTCATCCCGCAGCCAATCCAATCCACGTGCCCATATTCTGTTCTTCTGCCTGCTCGCGGCAAATGAGTTCCGCACAGCATGTGATTCGGGCACATCAACGTCACTTCTGTACTTCTACTTGCTCCCACTTGCCTGACCACAAGGGGCACTTGAGATGTACCTTCTAAGTTGAAATCTGCTTTCGGATGCCATGCAGCTGAAGTGCAGCAGTCTAGAAGCAACTTGAGGTCCTCACCAGCACTAGTGGCCGATCCTACCGGGAGCCGCGGCGGGGATGCCAGATCACGGGCATGCTTGAAGATGCGGCCGACATCAAGGGCTTCGAGAGCTTCGAGAGCTTCGGGAGCCTGGCGTGCGTGCAAGAAGTTTCAAATCAGATAAACGCAAGACCTGTTCGAGCACCACCTGTTCGAGGTACATTGGTGCATCCGCCCGCTTTGCCGTCGAAATTCGCAGTTTCCTCGCGGTTGTGGAGCTTGGAGTCAGGTCAGATTTAAGGAACAGCATCCCTCTTCCTGTAAGGGCACTTCAACAAAGATCCTGACGATTAGATGCTCTCACCATTCTGAGCGCCACCTGCGCCATGGGCCCAGGGGCAGCTGACAGTCTGAGTCTGCTCGGCGAGTGATTGACCGTTCCCCCTGGCTCTCAGTAGGGGGGCGTCGCTGCTCTGCACCCTCTAGACGGCTCATTCCACCATTGCTTGTTAGCTAGAGTGGGAGGCTGGCAAAGGCACCTTCATCACAACTGGAGTCCCGGCGAAAGCCGATGTGCTGGATGCAAGCGTCCGGACCAGTCCTGGAAATGGGGAAGCACACCATCTGTAGTCATTGCAGTCATGATTGCCCTTGTGGGCAGTGCAGGGCACAAACGACTGCAAGCCTGTGCCGGCTTGCCAGAAGGCACCTGCTGCCAACTGGCTGCACACATCCACCCATCAATCCGTGCTTGCATGTGCTTGCCCTACGAAGGTCATCGCAGACCGTGTGGCACGTCGCGTTCTAAACATCTAATTCGTTCTAGTGCCCCGCGCTACCCAGAACAGGCCGTGTACATCGGCGTGCTCATGAAGCTCATGAGCAGTGGACTTCAGCAAAGGGCGGCTGATTCCGTACGAATGACCAGCCGTGCACCGTGTGCCTCCACATGCCTTATGTGGAAGATTCCTGATACCCTCTGCCTCTGAGTGCATCGTAAATTTGTGGAAGCCTCAGGTCAACAGGCATCCCGTGGACAAGATGCGGGAAGCTGCCCCACAGCACAGTGGTTTGCTCCGTGCGGCTGAAGGTGGAAAGATCAGGGCCAAACCGAGCAGGATAGTGCGTGGGGCGGGCCGTCGACCTCCCCTGGCCTTCATCGAACCCTCGGCGTTTGTCTTGGCCTGTGGGTGTACCGTTGCCTTCGTCGAGCTTCCCCGGGCATCCTGCTCATCCCCCGTCCTGGTGCGTTTGCCCATGAAAAAGACTGTTGCTACTTGTCGCAGTTGGCTGTCCGCCGTGCTGCGTTTGAGCTCGGATACAACTCGGGGTATGCCATGTGCCGGATCGAGAATGCTTCGTGGCCTTTCAGAGAGTGAGAGTGAGAGACACAGCAACGGCTCAGAGAGCAAAACGCTACGAAGTTAATTGGATGCACCTCGCATTCTTGATCGGACACCTTTGGCCAAGACTATCGTAGCTCAGCTCCAGTGATGGATGCATTATCAGAGGCTGCCGAGTCTGTTGCCGAATTTGAATAAAGAGAGCAGCGCTCTGCCTCACTGTCGGTCAGAGGCAGTCGCGGTGAAGCGTCTCTGGAGTTGCATAGGAGTCATAGGAGTGGTACGAGGTGTTGATGTGGTGAGGGCTCGACGAGGCCTCAGTGCCTGCCATGGGTTCGTGGGATCCACAACAAAGGCAAAAGGCGGCATGTAGCAGTCCGAAACGCTGCCGGCCTCCCCAAACATTTATGATTGTGTCGGAGATCATGCGTCAAGTCGGCAGGTTCACACAGGCAGGCCTCTGTGTGCCGCTCATGCCACTGTCCATTGTAGCAAGGCTCGATGTCCCCCACTATCGCCACTGGAAGCAGCCTCTGTCCACCTTGACTATGCCTCGTCGTGCCCTGAAAGTCTCGCAGTGGGATGCTGCAAGAGTATGCTGAGCCAGTGACTTGACAGGCCAGGGAAGTTCTATGGCAATGTTCAAGCACGGCGTAGGTGAACTTGAGGGCCCCACCAGCCTTGCAGTGGCGGTTTGCCCATTTCCGGATTCCTCTTTGTGCCTTCGAGCCAAGTTAGTTGTGGTGCTTTATGTCTGCTAAGCCAGCTAGGCGAACCCTTAAAGACGCTTAACGAGGTGATGGATCAACGAGTGTGCCGTGTGGAAGCGGGCCCTCTGGCAGTGCGGGTCAGTCTGAGAACCACGACCGACACAAACTTTGCACGTTGCTCTTCTGCCCTTGGCATCTGCCTCGGCGAGCTTGGACACACTGGCCAGGGACGTATCCCGTGTATCTCCCAGCTTGTAATGCACGGGGCGTGCGACTCTTGACTTGCGACGCGGCGTGTTGGGTCTCTCCTCTTGACCCGCACCCTGCCGTTTCGGAACTTCGCTCGACTGGCTGCGCTTGCTGTTGATGTTCCGAGATGAAGCCGGTGGCCTTGTCCCACTTGCCTGACCACAAGGGGCACTTGAGATGTACCTTCTAAGGTGTCTTGTGCCTTATTAATGCCATGCAGCTGAAGTGCAGCCGTCTGAACCAGGTCCTGGCTGTCGGCAAGCGCTACCCAGGGCGCGTCCTGCGGCGAGTCCTGCTTCGAGCCCTGCGGCGTGCCCGGCATGTGCCCATCGGACACGCAAGGCTGCGTTTTCCATATGTTCCACGGTTCTGGTTGCGAGCCCCACCACTAGGGGCCGCACCTTCCGGGAGCTGTCACGGGCATGCTTGAAGATGCGGCCGACATCAAGAGCTTCGGGAGCCTGGCGTGCGTGCAAGAAGTTTCAAATACGATAAACGCAAGACCTGTTCGAGCATCACCTGTTCGAGGTACATTGGTGCATCCGCCCGCTTTGCCGTCGAAATTCGGAGTTTCCTCGCAGTTGTGGAGCTTGGAGTCAGGTCAGATTTAAGGAACAGCATCCCTCTTCCTGTAAGGGCACTTCAACAAAGATCCTGACGATTAGATGCTCTCACCATTCTGAGCGCCACCTGCGCCATGGGCCCAGGGGCAGCTGACAGTCTGAGTCTGCTCGGCGAGTGATTGACCGTTCCCCCTGGCTCTCAGTAGGGGGGCGTCGCTGCTCTGCACCCTCTAGACGGCTCATTCCACCATTGCTTGTTAGCTAGAGTGGGAGGCTGGCAAAGGCACCTTCATCACAACTGGAGTCCCGGCGAAAGCCGATGTGCTGGATGCAAGCGTCCGGACCAATCCTGGAAATGGGGGAGCACACCATCTGTAGTCATTGCAGTCATGATTACCCTTGTGGGCAGTGCAGGGCACAAACGACTGCAAGCCTGTGCCGGCTTGCCAGAAGGCACCTGCTGCCAACTGGCTGCACACATCCACCCATCAATCCGTGCTTGCATGTGCTTGCCCTACGAAGGTCATCGCAGATCGTGTGGCGCGTCGCGTTCTAAACATCTAATTCGTTCTAGTGCTCCGCGCTGCCCAGAACAGGCCGTGTACATCGGCGTGCTCATGAAGCTCATGAGCAGTGGACTTCAGCAAAGGGCGGCTGATTCCGTACGAATGACCAGCCGTGCACCGTGTGCCTCCACATGCCTTATGTGGAAGATTCCTGATACCCTCTGCCTCTGAGTGCATCGTAAATTTGTGGAAGCCTCAGGTCAACAGGCATCCCGTGGACAAGATGCGGGAAGCTGCCCCACAGCACAGTGGTTTGCTCCGTGCGGCTGAAGGTGGAAAGATCAGGGCCAAACCGAGCAGGATAGTGCGTGGGGCGGGCCGTCGACCTCCCCTGGCCTTCATCGAACCCTCGGCGTTTGTCTTGGCCTGTGGGTGTACCGTTGCCTTCGTCGAGCTTCCCCGGGCAGCCTGCTCATCCCCCGTCTTGGTGCGTTTGCCCATGAAAAAGACTGTTGCTACTTGTCGCAGTTGGCTGTCCGCCGTGCTGCGTTTGAGCTCGGATACAACTCGGGGTATGCCATGTGCCGGATCGAGAATGCTTCGTGGCCTTTCAGAGAGTGAGAGTGAGAGACCCAGCAACGGCTCAGAGAGCAAAACGCTACGAAGTTAATTGGATGCACCTCGCATTCTTGATCGGACACCTTTGGCCAAGACTGTCGTAGCTCAGCTCCAGTGATGGATGCGTAGATCAGCGTTGTCCATATTTGCTTGTGAGGCTTGCCCCGCACTTTGTCCCTCGCCCTCGGCCTTGTTTTGCAGACTCTGCACAGGGCCTTTTGGATTCTCTCCCTCCGGGCGTCCGGCCGCTCTCACAGCCACGTGTGGAATGCCGCGCCACTTGAACATCTGCAGGGCCTCTGAGATGCCGGCCAGTAGGCAACTTCGCGCGTCACCTTCGTTCGTCACCTTCGTGCGTCACCTTCGTGAGTCACCTGAGCATGGCGTGCCACTAGCATGTTTGAGTGATATGTCGCTCAGCTGTTGCTATGTTGGCTTGGTGAGCTGTCATCAACTGTTCCCATGTCGTTATGCTGGGGCTGCGGGTAGTCCTCGGTATGGATGCGCTGCCGTCATCCTTATTGTCGGTCAGAGACAGTCGCGGTGAAGCGTCTCTGGAGTTGCATAGGAGTCATAGGAGTGGTACGAGGTGTTGATGTGGTGAGGGCTCGACGAGGCCTCAGTGCCTGCCATGGGTTCGTGGGATCCACAACAAAGGCAAAAGGCGGCATGTAGCAGTCCGAAACGCTGCCGGCCTCCCAAAACATTTATGATTGTGTCGGAGATCATGCGTCAAGTCGGC